ATGGAGCTTTCATTCTGTGAGGGGCAGAGGGTGTCAAGTAATAAGCAGATAAACAAAAATATATTGTAATATAATAGTAAATATAAGCCAGACCATACATTTCATATATGCTCTGAAGAATACAAATAAGATGCGGCAGTGGCTTCCCTCCTTCCTTCAACAGGGAAGTCAAGGAGACATGTAAGCCAGCCCCAAGAAATGATCCAACTATTCAGAGTTCAGGGAAAAGCATTCGAGGCAGAGGGAACAGGATGTGTGAAGGTTTTGAGATAGGCCCTCTACTAAGCACTGCACATGGATTATTTCTTCACAACCACCCCACCAGGGAGGTGCAATTATTATTAATAATAGATAATAAGGCTCAAAGAGGAAGAGGGACTCCCTTGACACATACATCCCTCACTCCCTTAAGTGGCAGAGCTGGGATTAAAACCCAGGTTCAAGTTACCGCCAAAGCCCTTGCCTCCGTCATGATACTCAGCCCCTTTGTCCTCTCTCTAGAAGACAGGCATCTGCAGGAGAATGGGGGCAGGTGGCAAGCACCTCCAGAGGGGTGAAGGGATATTCTGGCCCTGCAACCTGAGCCACAGGCACAGCCAGCAGCATCAGGGCCACCTCGCAGGATCGTGCTGTGCGGACAGTCACGGTCTGGTCGTAGAGCCAAATCTCAGACTTAAGCTGTGATTATCCTTTCACTGTCAATGAGAGGTTCTGCCACAGCCATTAAAGAATGCCAAGGCTGGCTCTCCCTTCCCTTTCCTCGAGAGGGGATCTTGGAGGCCTGAGGACACGTGGGAGAGAGAGGTGGGAAAATGGGGAATAACAACCCAATAATAATAATAGCAAAAGCTTTTATAGTGCTTACTGTGTGCCAGGCACTGTTCCAAGGGCCTCGAGTATTCCAACTTGTTTAATCTTCACTACCACACTCTAACATCATCCCCATTTTACAGATGAGAAAACGGAGGCCCAGAGGGTCTTATAACTTACCCAAGATGCCACAGTGAATAACTGGCAGAGCTGGGATTTGAACCCAGGTGGCTGGCTCCTGAGCTCACACTTTTTTTAAAACCTTTTTATAGTAAAATAAGACAAACAGGAAAACATGTAGAACAAATGGACAACTTAGTGAATTCTTATAAGGTGGACACCCCTGTAACCACCACATGGGCCAAGAAGTAGAACGTTGCCTGACACCCCAGCAGCCCCTCTCTCTGCCCTCTCTGTCCTTCTCTCTAAAAGCTACTGCTATTCGGACTTTATAGGAATAATTCCCTTGAGTTTCTTTATAGTTTTTGTGTACGTCCTGAGACAGTGTCGTTTAGTCAGGCCCATTTTTTTTTAATTTGATACCTTTTAAGTCTCTTTCTCTCTCTCTTTTTGTTTTTTTTGGTGAGGAAGATTAGCCATGAGCTAACATCTGTGCCAATCCTCCTCTATTTTTTTTTTTTTTGGAGAGGAAGATCAGCCCTGAGCTAACATCCATGCTAATCCTCCTCTTTTTTTTTTTTAAATTTTATTTATTTATTTTTTTTTTCCCACAAAACCCCAGTAGATAGTCGTATGGCATAGCTGCACATCCTTCTAGTTGCTGTATGTGGGACGCGGCCTCAGCATGGCTGGAGAAGCGGTGCGTCGGTGCGCGCCCGGGATCCGAACCCGAGCCGCCAGCAGCGGAGCGTGCACACCTAACTGCTAAGCCACGGGGCCGGCCAATCCTCCTCTATTTTGTATGTGAGATGCTGCCACAGCATGGCCCCATGAGCGGTGCATATGTCTGTGCCCAGGATCCGAACCCGCAAACCCAGGGCTGCGAAGGCGGAGCACGAGAACCCAACCACTACGCCACTGGGCCGGCCCCCTTTTAAGTCTCTTTATTTATTTATTTATTGTGAGGAAGATCAGCCCTGAGCTAACATCCAGTGCCAATCCTTCTCTTTTTTTTTGCTGAGAAAGACTGGCCCTGGGCTAACATCCATGCCCATCTTCCTCCACTTTATATGGGACGCCGCCACAGCATGGCTCAATAAGCAGTGCGTCGGTGCGCACCCGGGATCCGAACCTGTGAACCCCGGGCCACCAAAGCAGAGTGCGCACACTTAACTGCTTGTGCCACCAGGCCGGACCCTTAAGTCTCTTTTAATCTACAAATTCTCCCTCCATCTCTTTCTTTTTCTTGTAATTTATCTGTTGAAGAACTCGAGCTGTTTGACCTGTGGAGTTTCCTGGCCTGGATTTTGCTGATGGAATACTCATGGTACAACTCAACAGGTTCCTCTGTCCTCTGAATTTCCTGCCAATTGCCCACCGGATCCTGAGGCATGATCAGACTCAGGTTCTATCCTTTCGGCAAGACCCCGAGGAGTGCGTTCTTCTGTCAGGGGCTCGGAATGTCTGTTTTTCTCTGTCTTTTGGTCAGAGACCTGCTCTTAACCACATTGCTATAAGGACACTTCCCAGTGGCCCTCAGCTGCCCTGTGATTTGCTCCACCCTCTGGACCTATCTGTCCCCAAAGGCGAGCCTTTTATAGGCACCAAGGTTTCTGCTGCTGTGGGCCTGGCTCACACAGGAAGGCAGCCCCTCAGAGGTCCCCCATGAGCCTCTCTACACTCCAAGGCCTGTGGTGGGAATGGGCCCCGCCTCCCTGATGAGCATCATCTGTCTCTCTCTCTTTCTCTTTGCTCCTCCCTCCAGCCCAGTAGACCAGGCAGGAGGAATTCTGCTTCATTTCCCAAAGGAGCCTTGCTTTCCCTTACCTCCGAGCATCAAACACTTTCCCCCACCTCCTGTGACTAAGCACCGCTGATCCTTCAGGTCCCAGCAAATCTGTCCCTTCCTCCCCACCCCCATCCCACCAGATTGGATCGGGTGCCTGTTACTACCCTCCCGTCTCCTCGGCTAACCTTGTAAATAACTTAGTGAATAGCACTTATGCCACTACATTATACTTGTCTGTTTTCTTAATCGTTTCCCCTACTATAGACAGGGACCCTGGCACATAGTGAGTGCTCAATAAATATCAGTTGAATGTATGCATGAATGAATGAGTGAATTAGACTTTACAAGTCACAAGGAGGCAGATCCAGGCTCCGTGTGAGACTTTTCAGATAATAAGAGCTCTTCTAAGACAACCACGCCGAGCTCAGGTCACAGAAAGAATTCCTCCCTGGGATAGGGTCCATCTGGGAAAATGTCTCTGTTCTTGCGAAGTAGCGGAACTCTTTCTTCAAACGACCTTACTAGGAACCCCAAAATACAAGACATGATCAAGGGGAGGAGTTCTAGTCTCAGCATTAGAGGAGGCAGAAGCTGGCCCCTGGGTCTCCCATGGTCCTGAGCAGGAGGGTTCCTCTGAACAGTGGCCTGGCTCTATTCTCAAGTGGCTTTATCACAGCCACCATGTCTATGATTTTAGGAGGCCAAGAGATTGGGGACAGAAGCGTCCTAGCTGACACCCTATCTCCACCCTCTGTGGTGCCCCCAGGGGCTCATCCTGTCAGCTGGCAGAGATGCCCACAGAAGCCCCCTTTCTACAGATTGCTACCCTGGCCCTCCAAGGCCACTGTATTTCTGAAAGAGTGTAGATCTCGGGTATCTGAGCAGAGCTAAGCAGGTACAGGAGCAGGCAGAGCTGCAGGCCCGGCTCTCAGGGCACAGAGCCAAGGGCTTAGTCTCAGAATTGGATTATTGGAGTGAATTTGGAGCTCTAGCTCCCCTGGCCACAGGCACATGGGGATTACCCAGGCCTCTGGCTGGGGCCTACAGTCCTTCCTACATTCCCCACCAGGTCTCCCTCTGTGGCAACGTAGTAGGGGAGGAATTCTCCACCCACCTCCCAGTTCCAGCCTTCAACCCGCAGCCTCCCCCAGCTGCCTGGAAGCACACCTGTCCTCCAGGTGTCTGGGATTTACAGCAGTGTTATTCAAATTGTGGTCCTGGGAATGGCAGGCATCAGCATCCCCTGGGAGATTGTTAGAGTTGCAAATTCATGGACCCCACCCCAAACACTGAATCAGAATCCCTGAGGTGGGGCCCAGATCTGTGACTTAACAGATCTTCCAGATGATTCTTATGCAGGCTAAAGTTTGAGAACCACTGGCTTGGAGTACATGGTCCGTCCCACTCACTTGTCTGATTACACCCCATGGCTGTCAAAGATTCTGGACAATTTCTATCCATAAACTTCTTTGGACTCCTTCAACCCTTCACTTATTGAAATTAATTACAATGATTATAATCATTGTCTAATATCGCCACATGGCACAATTCCACTGCAGTTATGTGGATAGTGGCCCCTGGAGGTGTGCAATGCGGTGCCGAGAGCACTTACTGTGGACTTGATGATCCTTTACTATCCCCACATTACATATGAGGAAACTGAGGTTCAGAGAGGGGACGTGACTGGCCCAAAGTCCACAGCAAGTAAACCCAGGGTCTAACTGTTCTACTCTCCCGCTTCCCACTCAGCAGAGAGGATGGCAGCTGTTTCTACATCTCTCTCCTCACATACTCTGGGATTTCCTCCAGGGCAAGAAACCTTGTCATCGCTTCCTCAGGAAGGGCCCCCTGACCTCCCCAGACTAGGCCAGGCCTCCTTAGTGTCCCCTTCCATAGGCCCCTGCACTTTTCCTGAATAGTACTATCACAGTTTGTAATCATATATCAATGTGATTACTTCCTGTCTGCTTCCCCCAGAAGTATGGGAAGCTCCAGGAAGACAGGAAGTGGGGCAGACCATGCTAGATGATATCCAGACTGTATCCAGTCTCCTTTTCTTATAGAACCTGATTTTGTTTGGGGCAGCTGTATACCCAGCCAAATCACTACATACCCCAGGTTCTGGCATCTGAGATAAGAGTTGAAGTGTCTGGGTGCCTAACCGTACTCAGTAAATGCATGTTGAATGCAGGATGTTCAGTTCTGGGCGTGCAGTTGGTACTCAGGAAATGTGTCATCTAACCAGGCCCAAGAAGCAAAGACCACCCCCACTGCTGCCTTTCTCTTGGAAATATTTTTATTGGTTCTGAGATAACAGGGCTGAGGCGAGCTGGGACAGGCACAGAGCTAAGGAGGATGGCAAGAGGCTCTGACCCAGGGCAGACATGCTGTGTGGGGTCTTCTGGCGGGCTCCCTGGCCCACCCAGCCAGCAGCGACTGGGTACATGGCACTTGGCGCCTGGCATGACCTCTGCCGGCTTGGCACTGTGGCCTCCTCGTCGGCGGGCGCCCCCCTTTCCAGTTGCAGGAGTTGTGAGTCTTTCACAGTGCGGAGGGGTGGGGGTCCGGGGTGGGCACCTCCCCGGGGTGCAGGCAGGCCCCATCCGCCAGTACATCCTGGGCTCTCGGCGGCTACGGTGGGGTGAGGCGTGCTCCGGCTCCTCTTCTCCCCACCTGTGGGAGCTTGGCAGTCCTTGCGGGGCTCAGCGAGGGGCCCTTGCGGCCTCAGCGAGACATCATCCGGACAAACTCTGGGAGGGTAAGGGAGAGGGTGGGGAGAACGCAGCAGTCAGGGCTCAGCTCAGCATGCTGCCTCCCAATCTCCCTCAGATCTGTGTTCCCTTCTCCATTGTCACTGCCCTGACTCCCTGCTGGTCCCCCACATCCATTCGGCCCCTTCCAGTCCATCTTCTACACAGCAGCTAGCAAGCTTCTTTTTTTTTTTTTTTTGTGAGGAAGATCAGCCCTGAGCTAACATCCATGCCAATCCTCCTCTTTTTGCTGAGGAAGATTGGCCCTGGTCTAACATCCGTGCTGATCTTCTGCCACTTTATATGGGACACCAGCACAGCATGGCCTGGCAAGCAGTGTGTGCCTGGGATCTGAACCCGGGTTGCCAGCAGCAGAGCGCATGCACTTAACCACTACGCCACGGAGCCGACCCCTAGCAAGCTTTCTCATGTGCATATCTGACCCCTCTTAAACCTCCCACGGCTCCCCACTGGATAATGTCCAATATCCCGACACGACCTCAAGGCCCCCCCTGTTCTGGCCTCAGCTGACATCTTCAGCCTCATCTCTCACTCTCACCCCAATGTCTATTTTCCAACTAAACAGATCTCTTCTTTAGTGCCCCAGGGGAAACTGGTGCTCTCTCTCACCTCTCAGTTTTCCTGCAACTTGTCCCCTCTGCCTTCTTTTTTTTCAAACTAGATTTTATTTTTTAGGGAAGTTTTGGGTTCACAGCAAAATTGACCAGAAAGTACAGAGATTTCCCACATACAGTCATGTGCCGCATAACAACATTTCAGTCAACAATGGACTGCATATATGACGGTGGTCCCATAAGATTAGTACCATATAGCCTAGTACCATATAACTATAATTAGTGCCATTAGCTATGTGTGGTAGGCCATACCATCTAGGTTTGTGTAAGTACACTATATGATGTTTGTATAATGACAAAATCGCCTAGCGACACATTTCTCACAATGTATCCCCATCGTTAAGCAACACATGACTGTACCCCCTGCCCCCCCACCCCAACAGCCTTCCCTACCATCAACCTTCCCCACCAGGGTGGTACATTTGTTACAATTTATGAACCTACATTGACACATCATCACCCAGAGTCCATAGTTTACGTTAGGGTTCACTCTTGGTGTTGTACGTTCTATGGGTTTGGATAAAAATACAATGACGTGTATCCACCATTATAGTATCATAAGGAGTGGTTTCACTGCCCTAAAAATCCTCTGTGCTCCGCCTATTCAGCCCTCCCTCCCCCTACAACTCCAGGCAACCACTGATCTTTTAACTGTCTCCATAGCTTTCCCTTTTCCAGAATGTCATGTAGTTGCAATCATATAGTATGTAGCCTTTTCAGATTGGCTTCCTTCACTTATTAATATGCATTAGAGTTTCCTCCATGTCTTTTCATGGCTTGATAGCTCATTTCTTTTTAGCCCTGAGTAATATTCCATTGTCTGGATGGACCACAGTTTATCTATCCATTCTCCTACTGAAGGACATCTTGGTTGCTTCCAAGTTTAGGCAATTATAAATAAAGCTGCTATAAACATCCGTGTGCAGATTTGTGTGTGGGCATAAGTTTTCAGCTCCTTTGGGTAAATACTGCTTCCTTCTTTTTCACCTGGTAGCTCCTACTCATCTCTTAGGGCTCTATGTATTTATAGCCTCCTCCAGGAAGCCTTTCCTAATCCCCCCTGCAGCTTGGCACAGGGGCCCCCTATGGACCACAGCCCACTGTTCTTTTCTCAAAAGAGAATGGACTATACTGTTGCCTTCTGTTTTCCTTGCTGGTCTTGGGCTCCTCAAGGTGGGGATCAGGTCTCAGCACACAGTAGGTGTATAATACATGCTGGTAGAATGAATGGGGGATGCTGGGCTTTCAGGGAAGGGTTGTCGTCTGTTGGGGGCACTACCTGGACACAGGATGACCTGGGATTTTCAGTTCTGGTGGTAGCAGAGTCTTCTCTCAGTCTATCCACACTCTTCTCTCCCTTGAAGGCCAACTTCTCCCCAGAAAAGGCCTCCCAATCTTTGTGTTCTGGACACACTCACAGTCTGGCACATGTTTATTTGTCTTTCTGCTCAGAATGCAAATTCTTGGAGTGCATAGTTGATGTTGTACTGTATTTTTCCCCCTACATCCCATAGTGCCTTGAATGGTATCATGCATAGTATTATATAGTGGTTGAAATCTCAGGCCAGGGTTTATGACCCAGCTCTCCCTCTTAATAGTTAGGCAATCTTGAGCAAGTTATATTACTTCTCTGAGCCTCAGTTTCCTCATCTGTAACATGAGGTAATGACAGTGCAGTCCACAGAGTCATTGTGAGAATTAAATGAGATAATATATGTAAAGGTACTCAGTGCAGTGACTGGTACATAATAAGTGTACAATAAACAATAACATTATGCTTATTACTGATTCATTTTTAAAAACTTATACTGAGCATTGGCTATGTGCCAGGTACTGAGTTATGTGGGAAATGTGAAGATAAAGAAAATGGGGTACCTGTTCCCAAAAAGTTCAGAGTAAGTGGAGAGACAACTGTAACTAGCAGTTAGGGGACAGTGTGAAGAATGAGGGTGAGCCTGAGGTGCTGTGAAAGCCCAGAAAAGAGGAAGTTCAATCTGAGAACCAGGGAAAAGTGCTGGAGAAGCGGTCCCACTGCTGGATTTTGAAGGATGAATAGAATTTAGCCCAAGTGAAGAACAGAATAAAAGGCATCCTGACAAAAAGAACAGCGTATTCCAACGAGAGCCTAGCAGGTTCATGGACCATACGTATTTTGGCATGGCTTTAAAGTAGGGTGTGCATGAGGAATGGTAGGAGCTGCAGCTAGGGAGGTGAGCTGTGGTCAGATCTTAGGGGGCTTGAGTGTCAGGTTGAGGAATGTGGTATCCAGGAAACCATGGTTGGATGCAGGAGTAGGCGGACAGATAGATGGATAGAGATGGATGGGGGCAGATGGACACAGGGATGGATGGATGGATGAGTAGATGGAGATAGGTGGGGAAATGACTGTACAGACAGATGGACAGGTCAATGGAAGTATGGGTAGAAGTACAGGCAGATGGATAGAGATACGTGAATGTATGAACAAAAGTACAGAAGTATAGATGGAGAGATGTACATGGGTAGATGGAGGCATGGGTGAATGTATAGAAGAATGAATAGATACATGGATGGACAGATAAGTGCATGGATAAATGGTTGTATGAGTGATTGCTTACAGATAGATGAAGGGAGGCCGGCCCTGTGGCTTGGTGGTTAAGTGCGCGCGCTGCAATGCTGGCAGCCCGGGTTCGGATCCCGGGTGCGCATCGAGGCACCACTTCTCTGTCCATCCTGAGGCCGAGTCCCACATACAGCAACTAGAAGGGTGTGCAGCTGTGACATACAACTATCTACTGGGGCTTTGGGGGCAAAAAATAAATAAATAAAATCTTAAAAAAAAAAAAAAAAAAAAGAGATAGATGAAGGGATAAATAGGCACCTGGATGGCTGAAGAGATGGATGAATGGATAGATGGAGAGACAGATATGGAAAGATGGACAGGTGGGTAGATGGATGGATGGACGAATGTATGGATGGATGGATAGGTGTAGGGATGGGAGGTGAATTAGAGGGGTGCATGGATGGAGGGGTAGGAGGATGGAATGGTAGGGGGATGGAAGTTGAAGTGAATTGATGGTTGCATGATCCATACCCAGTTGGAAGGCTCCATGGACGGCCACTACTGCTTTGGTTTCTCTCCCACTTTCAAGCCCCACCTACCTTCAAAGTCCACTCGTCCATCTCCATTGAGGTCCACATCTCGGATAATTTCCTCTATGTCTCGGTGTCCCACCTGATGACCCAGGAGTTTCCTCATGGCCTCTCGCAACTCACTGGTGCTTATCTCCCCATCACCATTGGTGTCAAACTGGAGAGGGCAGGAAGGAGGGAGAGGTAGCTACAACACAGAGACTGTTAGAAGCACATCCTAAGGTTGAGCCCCTTCTCCAGAGTCATGGTCCCCTCTTCCTCAGAGACTCTTCTCTGTCCAAGCTCCTTCCCCTGGTCTGGGATCCAGATTCAGGTTTCTTTTCAAGTAGCCATCATGGGATTGGGATTACAACCTCTCCCCTACCCTACCTGTCCACTGCCCATCACTTACCTCTCGGAAAGCATCTCGCAGTTCCTTTACTCCAATCATATCTGCCGTCTCCGCCAGGAGTTTAGGTCCCATTAGCTCCACAAAGTCATCAAAATCCACATGGCCACCCACTGGGGACAGAGAAAAGGGCTACATCATCCGTCTAACCATTCCCCATCTCCAATTAGGCAACCGAGGGCACCACCAACTCCTCCCTGATCTGCCCAGCACCAGGTCCAAGGTTTAACCAAAGGCCAAATAATGGCAGAGGTGACCTTGGACAGGTAGTTTATCAAAGAAGGGCCAGAGGAGTGGCCAGGGGTTGACTAAGGGAGCGAGTCAAGAAGTGAATAGAGGTAGATATGGACAGGAGAAAGAAACACTAGGTCACAGAGACAGGCAAAGAATTTCAGAGACAGAGAGATGGAGACACATGCAGAAAGGCAGAGAGAGAAGCAGAAGTTATGGGCGTCCGGCCTATATGCCCCAAGCCTTACCCTTATTGTGCAGATGGAAGCTCAACTTCCAACTGACCCTCTCGGTAGACAGAAGTGCTGGAGGACTGACCGCCACCTGCGGCCTGCTCACAACAGCTTTCAGCCAGACACTGACAGGAGATTGGGGGATAAAGACCCAGCCGGAGAGGGGAGGGCTGGAGGATAACTCTGAGGTGGGCATGTGACACTCACTCCCTGAGCTCCCCAGCAGAAGCAGACTCCAGTCACTCACAGTGGAAGCTGGCTGACAGTGCACTCTCTGTTGGCTCCTTCTATTTGCTGTCTCCCTTCGCTACTCCCGACCAACACTTCCCTTCACCTACCAAATAAACTACTTCAAATCCTTGTCTCAGGGTCTGCTTCTGGGAGAAGCCAAACTAAGACAGAGAAAAACAGAATAATAAGAGCATCCCTCTGTTCAACTCTTGCTGGGTGCCAGGTATTGGGCTGGTACAGATATTCCCTAATTGGCTTCCTATGCACCACTCCCCCTAGTACACCCCACATTTTACAGGGAGGAAATTGAGGCTCAGAGAGGGTAAGTGGTGCGCCCCAGGTCAGAGCTGGAAGGAGGTGGGCCCAGAACTTGAACCCAGGCCTGTCTGACTGCAGAGGACTGCAGGGAAAGGGCATGAAGGGAAGGAGGAGGCCCACGGGAGGACTCACGGTTCATGTTGATCTGCTGGGAGAGCTCAATGAGCTCCATCTCGGTGGGCATGTAGCCCATGGTGCGCATGCAGTTGCCCAGGTCCCGGCAGTTGATGTAGCCGTCCTTGTCCTTGTCAAACTCTCGGAACGCCTCTCGGAGCTCTGGGGAGGAGAACAAAGGTGGGCATGGTGGGGAGTGGGACCCGCAAAGGCAGCCCGAGGGCCCACCAGCTTGGAGAGCCAGACCCTGGAGCTGCCCAGGACTGCGCACTCCTCTGACACCAGGCTCCACAGAGGATACTCCACGCCTGTCCCCAGGAGGCCAAGGTGTCTCTGCCTCTCTTCCCATCAACCTCCCTTCCCTTACCTTCCCGGATGGCTGAGAAACCTTTACCCCGAAGGGGCAGGTCTTACCTTCAATCTCCTCTGGCCGCAGTGATCTGTCCTGAAACAAAAGAATGTGTCCTATTAGCAGCTGCGAGGGGCCTGGAAGTCACAAAATGCCCAAGCTGGGGGCCATCCAAGTGGCAGCAGGCACGGGGCTGCAGCAGAGGTGTGCCTGGACCATGTCCTTGAGGGGAAAGGTGCAGCCCCATATCTCCCAGAGGCATGGGAGATGCCCAGGGACCCAAGAGCCCCCTCCAGCAGGGGCACAGAACCTCTGTGCCCCCAGCCCCTTATTCCAGGCACAAGAATGTGCTGGGGAACAGAGCTGGTCCAGAGTCAAAAACCTGTAAATAAAACAGGGTCAGCGGGAGGTCACGACAGAGAGAAGGCCTGTAAGGCAATGGGAGGGGAGAGAAAGCGGCGACTAGACAGGTGGCCGAGAGGAAGGAGAGGAGGAGCGGCGGGTGTGGAGGCAGGATGAGGGCTGCGCCCTGCTTCCTGGGCACTGCCCCACCTTCTCCAATTTGACCCCCATCCTACACCTTGCCCTGTCACGGGACAGCACAGGACCCTGGGGGCCGCCAGTGCTGCTGGCTGCTGCCAGGGTCCAAAGAACATGTCTCCGGCCTCCAGCAGTGCCCAGGTCTCCTTGGGGAGTCAAGGAGACCCTGGCTCTAGGCATCAGAGCAGATGGCAGAGAAGTCTCCAAAGAGCAGGCTGGAGGAAGCAGGGGGCAGGCACCGGCTGGTGAGGCGCCAGTCGCCCCAGGCCTGCCCAGGAGAAATGGCTGCCCAGCTGGACCTGCTTAGCTGGCTCCAAAACTGGTCCACAGGGCTCATCCTTCCACATGGTACAGCTCTCTGCCTTTAGGCAAGGAAAACATGGGGCAGAGTGTGCCCGCCCTGAAGCAGCACACACCAGGTGTGGGCACACCTGTTATGAACACAGACATGCGGGCATGCCACAGTGAGCGTGAGGCATCTCAGCTGTGCACACAGGCTGTTCTAGCCCACAGGGCCAGGGCGGTAGAGACAGCTGCTGCCCACCCATTCTAAACTGGCCCCAGGGCAAGGGACCCTGGCTCTGGAAAATCTGAGAATCTTCTAGAAAGGGGCTGCTGAGCAATATCTTGTAGGACAACCAGGTGCACAGGACCCGGCGCTCTGAAGTGGCTCTCTGGGGCAGGACAGTGTTGAGTGTATGCGGGCTTGGAATGAGCTGGCTGCAAGCCACTGGGCCCTGCAGGTCCATCTCTAGCTGAGGGTCAGATTCACTGAGGGTGTGTGTGTCTCTGTGAGATGACTGTATGGACTTGCACTTACAAAGCCGGCAACAGTGCACAGTGCAAGGGTTGTGACTCTCGTTCCTAGTCAGACTTGGATCCCGGTGACCAAAAATGCGTTTTCTGCAATGTCCTGTACTCCAGTAAGTGAAGTGAGCGAGTAAATGCGTGTACACACGCAGAGTACACTTGCTAGGACAAGTTACTAGACATAACAAGTCCTTTCCCATACTTCAGGCCACAAGCAGCCTCTCACTTCTCCAGGCCCCAGCTCTGCAGGACTGCAGAGGAATGGGGTGCTGCTGACCCACTGCAGCCCCCTCCATACTTCTCGTATAGCGGAGGCAGGGAGCAGGAAAGCCAGGTATCCCTTCGCAGTGAGCCTGTGGCTGGAGCGCGTCCCGCTGAGTCCTGGTGGCTGGCCCCTGAATCACACACTCCCCAGTGCAGGGTGGCAGGGGTAAGTGTAGTACAGCCGGGATGCCCACCAATGTGGGGCAACCATGAGAAATCATGAGCACCTGCTCCGGGGGTTCAGGTGGGAATGGAGCACACGCACACTCCTTTCTCCCCAACTCATGTGGTCAGGGGGAAGAACTTGGCCTCTAGAGTCACACAGACTCGAGTGCAAAACCCAGATCTGCTTCCTAGCTGTGGGACCTTGGGCAGGTCACTTCACTCTGTGAGCCACAGTCTCCTCATCTGTAAAATGGGTTAATACCAGTACCCACCTTCCAGGGCCTTTGTGAGCATTCCATGAGACAAGATATGTAGAGTGGTTAGCATGTGGCCTTCAGTAAATGGAACCTGCAATTGTTTGTATCTGTCACATCATCATTAATACCCTCCTCCCTGTGACTGTGCAGATACCTATAGGAGGCTGTCCAATACAGTAGCCTCAAGTGGCTATTTACATTTGAATTAGAATTAAATAAAATTAATAATTTACTTCCTCAGTTGCACTAGCCACATTTCAAGTGCTCAGTAGCCACATATGGCTAGTGGCTACGGTACTGTACAGCATAGATTGCAGAATGTTTCCATCATCATAGAAAGTTCTACTAGACAGTGCTGTGTATTCAGTACTGTTGTTCAGAGCACAGGAGGCCTTTGAGTTGGAGGCCCCGCATTTGAATCCTACCTCTATCACCCATTAGCTGTTACCTTGAGCATGTCACCTCTCCAACTCAGTTTCTCATCTGTAAAATAGGGATGATAATAGTACCCACCTCTTGGAGTTGCTCTGAGGCTTAAATGAGGCAATGCACCAGAGCACTTAGCACAGTGCCTGGCACATAGTAAGTGCTCAAAAAAACCCCAAAACAATGTTAGCTGCTATTATTATTTCTTGCTGGTGGATGTGGACTCACCATGCTTTGCAGCCAAGAGTGGGAAACTTTGGGGGTCAGATTCACAAGTTGAGGGTTTGAGGTGTATCTGCTGGAGACACGGGCTGCTGTGTACAGAGCCCCTCTTCCCAGCACCTCCTCATGCCCTGTGAAGCCAAGTCGAGTGTGGCTCCACTGGGGCCAACTTACGTACAGGCTGCCTGTTCTCAGCGAAGCCCTTGCGGAGGAAAATGCAGGCAGGGCCCAGCAGGTTGTGCATGACGGCGCAGTTCTGGGCCAGCATCAGGAGCGGTCCAGGGAGCTCGCCACTGGCCGCCAGCCCCTCCTCGCTCGTCTGCACCACTGTGTAGCTGGTCTTCTCCTCCTGGCGCATCTTCAGCCAGCACCAAGCAAATACAAAAGAGAGGCAGGGCGTCACCTCCCTGCCCAACTGGGCCCTCCTGGCCCCAGCCTGGCTCCTGGTCCTAGAAAGGACTCTCCTCAAAAGAAGCCCCTTGAGAGTCAAACAGCAGGGTTCAGAGAGCCCTCAGGACGCACGGGGGCAGGCATCAGATTGGTCCAACAGATGGAGTCTGATCCTCAACTGAAATGGATGCTCCAGGGAGAGCTGGGTGTGATACCTGCTGTGTGGCACATGTGCATGTACACACACACACACACACGAAACAAACATGTGCACAGAATCACACATTTGTGTGCATGCAGAAGCTCAGAGAGAGAAGCAGGCAGAGGGAGGCTGTTCATTCAGTGACGAATGGAATAATGTCCTTTCCCAAGATGCTCCCAGTGTCCCAGCGCAATCCCCTGGGGCTAAGCTCCCAAACTGACTTCTGACTCCACCCCCGCTGGGGCCCCACTCGAAGGCAGTGAGGACAGTCAGAGCTGGCAGCACAGAGAGCGGGCTCAGCTAGTCTGCCAGACTGGAGGCTGCAGACACAGGTGCCATAGCTAACATAAATGAAGCAGCAGGTGTAAGAGGTGGGGCCCAGGGCAAAATGGACGCTGTGTGTCCCCTCTGAAGGGGCAGCACTACTTAACTCCAGCCCAGTGTTGCCAGACCTTCCGATTTAAAGCACCAGGTGGTCCCAACAAAGCACGTCTGTGGGTCGGATTCCACCCAGTGTGTGGCCTCAAGACTAAACCCTCTCTGCCACCAGCAGTTCTCCTTCTCCTCCCTTCCGCCTCCCCTGGCTCCCTGCCTGGCCCAGCCCGCTGACCTCTAAGGCTGAGGCAGGGGCCCTCTCTGCTTACCGAATATAGCTGTGCTCCCAGGCCCTGGCCAACCCAGCCTCCTCCCTGACGGTTCCCATGCAGCTATAAAAAGTCAACACTGCCCAGAGACCGTCCCCTTAGGACAACAGCAGCATCCAGACACAACACTGTATTCCACCCCAGCCTCCTCAGGATGCCCAGCCCCCCCGTTCCCCGCCCAGAATCCAGGTTAGGGCACTTCGCCTTCAGCCCTGAGCTCGGATGCCTCCCCTCAGTGTGGGGATTTGGAGCCAAACCTTCCCAAGGAGAGAGAGAGCAGCTCCCTTTGTCTGAGAACCCCAGAGCTGCACCCTACCCTTCCATCCTGCTGCTCCTCTTCCTGTCAGGCTCCTCCAGCTCCAAGAAGGTCACGCCCAGGAGGACACCATAAGACCCAGGGGGCAGCCTGACCTACAAGGCTGAGAAGCAGAACACCCTGCCCCCTCTCACCTTGTCCTCTCATGGTTCTTCTCCCCAAAGCCCCCGCTGTGGGGCTACAAGTAGACTCCCTTCCACTTCCTAAGCCTCTTCCAGGCCCAGAGAGGGACGAGCAACAGTCTGGGTCCTCAAAGGGGAAGCAGCACCTCAGACCTGAGGTGAAGGACCTCAGTCCAAGGCCCAAGTCCAGAGTGCAATAAGGGTCATCGTAGGGAACCTCAGAACTTGAGGGGTGTCAGACAGACCAAGGGCCCATTCTGAATTGATGACCAAAGAAAGGTTCAGAGCCTCAGCCACACTCACTCGGGCTTCTGGGACCTGCTAGAGCAAGAACAGAACCAAAGAGACCTTCCCAACTGGGAGAGCGGCTCGGAGGAAGCCTGGGAGGAGACAGTGGCTTAACCCCAGGAAACAATCTCAGGAGACATTTGTAGAGAACCAGCCTTTTAGCTTCTGGCTGACTCTTGCATATTTGGCTCAGAGTGAGCACAACCCAGGAGGGAGGAGGCAGCGGGCGGCACAGAACTCCGAGAGGCGTGTTAGTATACTGGCTTTGGACTCCAACAGTCTTGGGGACGAATTCTGGCTCTGCCACTTGCTTGCTACGAGACCTTGGGCAGGTCGCTTCACTTCTCTGTGCTCTAGTTTCCCTCTCTGTACAATGGGGATATGCATGTCTAGTCAAAGTATTCTGTGAGAAATAAATGAGCTATTGCATAGTGCCTACAGCATGGTAAGAGCTGAATAGATGAGTTGCCATGGTGATGACAATGACGATGACAAAGAGGATGACGATGACGGTGATGAGATGATGCAACTTAAGAGATGCTGGGTGCCAGAAGGCGTTTAGTTCTGCCGGCAGAGGAAGTGGGAGAATATTTGCCAATCAAGAAAGAAATGAGAAGGATGGAGAATTTGCTCCCAAGAAGAATGAACCAATGGTGGCTGGGGAATTTCCACTGCCTCTCTTGATCATAATACTGCCTGGCACCAAGTTTCCCCTGGAGGCTGCTGTTCCTCCCTGGCCAGTGATGGCACCTGACAGCCTGGTCCTGCCCTGCTCAGAGCCTGAAGCAGCTGCCTCTCACCAATACCAGTTCCCCAGCTGCCACCTAGGAAGCCAAATGGGCAGTGGCCCACAGGCTGACAACGTCTCCTGGCACCACGGGGACGTCTCTTGAGTGTGGCATGGCAACAGGAGGGGCCAGCACACCTCATGACCTAACAGCTTTCTAACAACGCGAGCTGGCCAAAGAGTATGCAAGTCAAAGCTCCCTCTCACTGAGGATATTCAAGGAGATGCTGAATGAGTGAGCATTTGGTGAGGTGGGAGAGGGGCTCTCTGCAGTGAGTGGGAATTTGCACTAGATGACCTGTGAGGTCAGATTCAGGAATCTATGCATAACGTTAATGACAGCAGGAAAAGGAGAGAAGCAGCCTCTCACAGAGGCAAACATAAAAATAAAATACCAGCTCTGGATTCACACAGACCAGAGTTTAACTCTCAGCTCTGCGTCCAGTTGGCTGTGTGACCTTAGGAAAGCTCTTATCTCTAAGTCTAGCTCCTTTCTCTATAAAATAGCCAAGAGAGCTAGTTGGTGGAAAAGAGCAAATGAGATAACAGATGTTAGATACATTGTAAGTATTCAGGAAAAAGCAATTATTATAACTATAAAAAACATGAAATCGAGTGCAATAAGTTTTATGATCTTTTACCTTATTCCATGGACTCAAAATCTCTCCTGTTTTCCTTTTTTCCTCCATGCCCCTCCTCAGAAAACCCAGAGTGGAAAAATGATGGTTCTGATGACAATAATACTAGCTAACATTTACTGAAAACTATATTCCAAGCACTGTGCATAGCACTTTACTTAGTTCTCACCATCACCTTAGGAGGTGGATATTAGTACTTCCACTCGATGGACAAGGGAACCGAGGCACAGAGAGGTCAAGTAACTTATTTAAGGTCACATGGCTGGAAAGAGGAGACCCGACAAGTCAGACTCTCAAGCAGTTTGCTGTGTGGAAGATGCGTAGGGTGGGGCCAAAGGACATTCTCGTTCTTAAGTTCACCTTTTCAAGCTCTGGACAGAACCCAGGGGAAAGGCTTTTGCCCTGTGGCCCTCTACACTAATTCAGATTAGTTTCTGCTTCTCTGCAACAGCATGGAGGCCACCGCTGATGCAAAAGCCTCCCCTAAGGAGATGACAGATGATGGGGGGGAGTGCACAGAAGAAACAGTCAACCCTCGGAAGGATCCAAGGAACAGCGAAGATTAAAAGGAATTTGATGTGAGCGGCTTAGCTAAATGAGGAAGACAAGCAGAAAAGCCTGAAATGTCCTAAATTGGGAGGCCGTCAAACTGATCGAGGAGGTAGGATGGGGTTGGGGACAGAGGGACCATTAGCTAACCTGAGACCTTGGGTAAGTCACTTAACCTAAGTAGCAATCAAATTCCTCGTCTGGAAAATGAAAGCATTAGAGGAAAACATCCCTATCATTCTTTCTTCCTTTAAATAATATCTATGAGTTTCTTCTATGGCTGGAGTACAGAGGGGTAGAAGTACACGCAGAGCCCACTTGAAGCAAAACCCTAAAGATGCAAGCCCAGACTTGCAGGAAAGGTGCTTTGGAGGTAATTATTTGATGCCCAAAAGGAATTCTTGCAAAAGAATATTATCCTGGTGTATAAGCAATAAATCCCCTATAGAAAGCGACATGCAGACACCTTTGCTCAATATCCTATTTCTCAATGGAAACAAGCCTGGGCCCTGAACCAGTCTGGTCCCAGCTGAGATTCTCTGACCTGACTCAAGAATTCTCGAGTGTAGAAGGGGATACGCTGCTTGGTTTCTTTCAGTAGCAATGGGATCTACTTCAAAACCCACAAATCTGAAGGCTTAGAGACCACCAGAGAGGGTCAGAAACCCTCGAAGGAGATGAATGAACCCCCAGACCTACTGCTGGGAAGGAGCCTTAGCAACAGCAGGGTCAAAACCCAGCTCAACCCGCTTCTGATCCTGCCAGCTCCAAGGGGGTCTGTTCACTCACATCCTGAAGATCACGCTTTCCATTTTACAGCACCGAAGCTACGTGGTTTCTTTCCTAAATCTTGTGCAAACTCCCAGACACAGCCCCCCACGCAGCTCAAGTCCCAACTTCAGCTTAGAGCCTGGGACATAGAAAACTGTGATGGGAGGGAATCCAGAGGTAAGAACAGGGAAGCAGCTCTAGACAGAACCCCCGGGAAGGGTTGCAAGCTTCAGATGCCCACCCTGTCCATGCCTAACCTCTGGGACAGATGGCAAGATGCCCCAACCCCCACCCCAGGTCTTGGGAACTCCAGAAACATACCTTCCTTGAGAGATTTCTCAGTGGAGACTTGACACAGTTGCCCATCCTAAGCTGAGGCAGCCCCTCTCAGGATCCCCGGGTCCATGAAGGAGGCTCCTGGGGGCTAAGAGACCTTAGTCCAGGTCACCGCCAACCCCAGTCTCCCTCTGCTTGTGCCGCTCTTCCTCCAGGACCGATCTGAGCCCTCTCTCTTGTGCGCGTGCTCTCTTACTCGTCTGCCTGCTCCTGCTTTCTGAATTTTTTTTAGTGGATTGTGTGTGTGTTTGTATGTGTGGGTTTAACTTTCTGGGCACTTTCTTAAGGAGATGAAGGCAGGAGGGGAGAGTACAGGGCACAGAAAAGATCACCCAGAGAGCTGATGGCAGAGGGCAGCCGAACTGGAGAAGGCTGCCGGATCATCTCCATCAGATTAGAGCTGACTCCTCTCTCTGGTTCATTCCCCTTCCCTCAGCCCCTCCTTTCTCCCTGCCAAATCTGCAGGGAGATTGCCTGGGGGTGGAGGGGGGGCCAGACTGGCAGCTGCAGCTGGGAATTAGGCCAGCAGACCCAGAAGGGGAAGCAGGCTCGTTTGGGCCCCCAAAGCCAGGGTGCCTCCCAGCTCCCAGCCTTCTGTATGCATACACACACACACACACACACACACACACGCACGCGCACACACACACACACGCGCGCGCGCACGCGCGCACGCGCGAATCCTAATTGCCCCCTGGCAATCGCCCTGAATCCTAATTGCCCCCTGGCAATCGCAGCTGGAGTGAGAGCAGGTGGCTCCAGTTGAGGGCCTGGGAGATCTTGTGATGTCTCCATCACGCTCCATTTTTCACACTTGCCTCCTCATTGAAATGGGATGAGCCTCCAGGGCCGGAAGCATGCTGAGCCAACAGCAGTGAGCAGCCCCTTCTGCTCCCTTGGCTGTACGAGGTCTCTCTGACCCAAGGAAAACCAAGAGACTGCCCTGAGGGGGGCATGATGGAGGCAGTGCTGGCACAGAGGGCCTGAGCGAGGGCTACAAACCTTCTCTCCTAATCCTGAGCAAGGATCTTTTACCGGCTTCCTTGGGGTACAGAGCAGAGAGGCTGCCCTTTGCAAAGTGGTCTTCAAGGTCCCACGATTGGAACTTTTTAGGTGACTGGCTCTTCCTTGTCCTCCCAGGTTCCAGCTTTGATGTGAATTCATCTCAAGCCTCAGATGTCACATTCAAGACCTACAGCCGGAGCCAGACGACCCAAGAGAAGAAATGTCCCTGTTTCCCTGCACTCAGCTTCTCCCAGCAGGGGGCACCAGAGATAGGCTGGGAAGCCAAACTCCTCCTGGCCTCTGATGCAACAACCCTTACACTCGGCGCCGAAAGAACTTTCAGTCTAGAGAGGCTCCTCTCCCAGGGACTTTTTGTCCAGTGTTGGGTGGCTGGTCAGAACTCTCGGTAGGGAAGATGAGTGAGGGCACTGCCCAGAAGGTGCCACAGGCTCGCTCCCAGGCAGCTGGGGAAGGAGGTCCCTGGATAGCTCTTGACGACTGTGCGGCTGCTGACGACAGCGGAATGGTTTAACCAGGAAACTTATTCAGCAGCCTTGTTTGGGCCAAACCTCCCGTGGGGGATATGGAGAAGGAGGGGCGGCCCCTGGGGACAGAGGGAGGAGCGGGGGGGGGTGGTGTTGACGCCTAAAGGGCAGGAAAGGGGGTGAAGACGAGGCGGGGGGCTGGAATGGGAAGAATGAGCAGCCAACATAAATGCCTTCTTCAAAGACGTGTTCCTCGGAACCAGAGCATGAAGGCAGCATTTCCACAGGTCGAGTCAGGGTCATGGGGAAGAGCGATGGACTCAGATGAGTGGGAAGGATCTGGAGGCTTGGGGTTGAGTCCTGGCTCTGCGGGCTTCTGACTGCTCAGAAGCTTCCAGGGCTTCCAGAGCTTCAGTTTCCTCGCCTGGAAAACGAGGCTTCCACTATCTTGCTTATAAAGCGTATGTGCGAAAGCACATGGCACATAACTGGTGCTCCATAAGTAATTGTTAAAATGGAAGGAAGAAGTTTCATTGTCCAATTTGTCCGTATGTGCCAGGCACTGTGCTTGGCTCTGGGAACATTGTGGGGAGTGAGAAAAACACAGCCCCTGCTTTCAGGGAGCTTCCATTCCAGCAGGCGGGCAGGAGATATTAAAGAGCTATGAACACAAGAATGTTTCGGGTAAATGCTCTGAAGGAGAAACATAAAAACTCTGAGAATGTGAGACAGAGGGATCTGAGCTAGTCTGGGGAGATCAGGAAAGACTTGTAGACCAAATCTAGAAGACTGACTATCTGCGGACTCTTCTGAAAAGCTAGGGCTCACTGGGGACCGCAGAGGGGAGGCTCCAGGTACAAACCCAACTCATATTAACCTAATGGGTGGATCCATGAAAAGGCAGCACAGTGTAGAGCAGAGGTTCTCAATGCTGGCTGCAGATGAGCTTCCCCAGAGATTCTGGTTTAATAGATGGAGGTGAGCTCTGGCCATCGGTGTTGGTTAGTACTCCAGGTAATGCTAACCTGAAGCCAGGATTGAGAACCACTGATACAGAGGTGAAGAGCTTGGAATGCAAAGTCAGACAGACTTGGGTTCAAATCCTTCCCTGCTGCCTAGCAACTATGTGACCTTGAAGACATGTTCACTTTTCTGGGCCTCAGTTTATTTATTTATAAAATGGGTACTCTAATAATGCTTCCCTCTAGGGGAAGGAGTTAATGAGATAATACATGCAAGGGCTTGGTGCAGTGCCAGGCACCTAGAAGGTGCCCCTTCCCCTGCCCAGCATTGGTCTTAAAGGGCTGGGTGTGGCCTCTGTTCGCCCAGCAGGGCACCCACTCAGTCAGACCTGGTGACTCCCGCCCCCTGCAGGCCAGCTCAGAGCACAGCACCCGCTTGTCGACCTTGGGATATGCCTCTGTCCTTGGAAACAGAAGACAGGAGACGGCAAAACCAGGCCCCTATGGAAAAGTCACGCACTTTGAAGAAATCCCATCCTTCTTTAGCAGGGAGGGTGCTGACACCAGCTTGAGGCTTAAGGGCAGCAAGGGATTCAAACCTAGAGCTTGCTTAAGCTATTATGGGCTGGGCAGGTCAGGTGGTGGTGGTCCTGAGTGACGAGGGTAACTGGTGATCTGGAGAGGGCAGATGGCTTGACCTTAGCAGAAAATTTTATTCTTTTTTTTTTTTTTTTAAAGATTTTATTTATTTTATTTTTTCCCCCCAAAGCCCCAGTAGATAGTTGTATGTCATAGCTGCACATCCTTCTAGTTGCTGTATGGGACTCGGCCTCAGGATGGACGGAGAAGTGGTGCCTCGATGCGCACCCGGGATCCGAACCCGGGCCACCAGCACTGCAGCGCGCGCACTTAACCACCAAGCCACAGGGCCGGCCCCATAGAAAATTTTATTCTTATTTATTTATTTTTTTTGGTGAGGAAGATTGACCCTGAGCTAGCATCCGCTGCCAATCTTCCTCTTCTTTTTTTTTTTTTTTTTGCTTGAGGAAGATGGTCCCTGAGCTAACACCTGTGCCAATCTTCCTCTGCTTTGCGTATGGGACACCACCACAGCATGGCTTGATCAGTGGGAGGTAAGGTCAGCACTCCGGTTCTGAACCCGCAAACCCCAGGCCGCCAAAGCCGAGCGTGCGAACTTAACCACTACACCACCAGGCCGGCCCCAGCAGAAAATGTTTAAAAGGACTGAATGGTGGGGGCTTCTCTAAGGAGCAAAACGTATGGCCCAGCCCCACCTCCCCATCCCTATTCACTGTGGCAGCAGCCCCTGGGCCTCCGGAAGCCACACTTTGAGTTCTGGAATGGAATAATAGGATCAGAGAGATAAGAAGGGTAAACCCATTGCTGATTATTCCCGATTAGGAGAGAGGCTGGCCTTCGGCCCTGACCAGTTCTATCCCCAGCATTTGAACTTGGATGGCAGCCCAGTGCTAAGACACTCGGGAAAGCTGGATTGTAACCTGAGAGGTGCTTTGTGGATGCTTCTGACAAATAGGAAACACACTGACGTGACCTCCCACCCAGCCAGCATGGCACGGCTCAGGCAGGTTGTTTGGAGAGATGCAGACACATCACAGTCCTGTCATTTACTTACTATGTGACCTTTGGACAAGCCACTTCCCCCTCTCGAGCCTGTTTCCTCATCTCTAAAATGGGGGAAGATAATGCCAACCTTCACAGGTTGCTGTGAAGATAAGATGATGAGAAGAGACTTCGTCAACTGTTTAGCGGGCTCTAGACTGAGGTCTCACCCTTTTGGCTTCCCCAAAACAGCTAGGGGCAAATGCAGACATCCTGGGGGAGGCTCACGAACTGACAACTCATGCCAAGCCACTCCTACCACCTATGACTGATGTTAACCACAAACGGACCTTCTCTTTCCCCTTCCCCAGGCCCCAGAGGAAAGGCAATAGGGGCTCCCAGCCCTCTCAGAGAGCAGTAGGGAGAGACTTGGCCGGGCACGAGAGAGTAAGATACACAGCCCTCATGCAACTGAATCCATTAGGACCCAAACCGTCATGGTCTCTGTCCTCCATCTAAACTATAGGAACTAAGAAACCTCTGAAGTCCAGAGGCTGGAGAGACCAGGCATTCATTCATTCACTCATTAAATACAGATCTTCCTCGACTTATGATAGGGTTACATCCCGATAAATCCACTGTAAGAGGAAAATACCGTTAAGTCGAAAACGCATTTAATACACCTAACCTACCAAACATCATAGCTTAGCCTAGCCCACCTTAAACGTGCTCAGAACACTTAAATTGGCTACAGTTGGGCAAAATCATCTAACACAAAGCTTATTTTATAATAGAGTGTTGAATGTCTCATGTAATTTACTGAATACTGTACTGAAAGTGAAAAACAGCATGGTTGTATGGGTACAGCATAGTCGTAAGCGTACTGGCAGTTTACCCTCGTGATCACGTGGCTGACTGGGAGCTGCGCTCGCTGCCAAAGCCTAGCATCACGAGAGAGTATCATGCTACTATGCATATCACTACCTGGGAAAAGATCAAAATTCAAAACTCAAAGTATGGATTCTACTGAATGCATGTTGCTTTTGCACCATTGTAAAGTTGAAAAATCCTAAGTCAAAAACCATTATAAGTCAGGGACGGTCTGTACTGCCATCTTGTTATGTGCAAAGCAGTTTGGGAATCGGGCAGCCTACTCAAATCGGAAGAGATGTCTCTACAGCCAGAAAAAGGGGAAGGATGGGTCAGAGCTGTAGGTTTTATTCATATTTGCCTCCTCTCCAAGGGGCATTTCTTCCCGAACTTAGGGTAAGGAGCAGAAAGACTTTTCTTAAAATAGTTTTTCAAGACCCAATGCCAAGAGTTGCCCTAAGTCATGCCTATTTTGAGTTAATTTCTGATTCTACATCTCTCTAGGCAGCTGGGTGGCATGTCCCTAGCTGGCCACAAAGAGGGTACTAGGGAAGGTCCCTTGTCATTCAGCTCCTTCCTCTAATGGCCTTCCTCATCTGGCTCAGAGTCAGCTTTCAAAGTACCTTAGACAGGCCTTCATTCAGACAATTACTCTATTAATA